TCGGCCCTCTCGAATCTAGTACGCTGCAGTTACCGTGTTAGTCTTCCTTTCCTCACTCCCTCTCCTTCCTTGCAGTTCTCGGGCTTGCTCACTAGGTTACAGCACAGAGCCAGCGCCAGGACCTCGATGACGCATAAGAGGAAATCAACATTATCTCTAAGTAATCTTTCATAAAAACTTAATTTGGAGATTTTTACAGGACATATAAATGTAATTTTACTGAATTTTTCCATTAGATTACATGTTATACTGCGGCCGAAAAATGAAGCCGGAGATCATGTGTGTACCACGGAAAAAGACCGGAAAGGTAAAAAAGCCGGTTTTCCTATCACCAGAAGATTGTATATAAAGACATCAAGAAAATACTCCCTTCTGAGACTAAGACGTAACCACCCTAGCTTGTTGTAATACTGCGCAAGTGAAGCGTTACGTCCCAGACAGAAAATATACTGAACCACCATATTGCATGAGCGATCAAGTTGAATCGACAAAAATTCGGACAAATCCATATAGACCAGACAAGCATAATCAAAATGCAGGATAACGAGGCTTGTGGCAAGCATAATTTCAAACTGGTACGACAAAGCGCTACCCCTGTATCTGAGCTGATAAAAGATCCCATGAACCCTCGAGCAGACGAACGCTACAGAGGCAGCGACTCAATGTCAATCCGCATCTGATATACTGACACATAGCGAAAAGCAAGGCATGCATTTTTCCACAGTGGAGCTGAACACCGAGCTTATTCACCCAGGTAACAACTCTCGTGATTTCCGCATTGAAGGTCCCAATGGTCTCAGGAAGCTCGGAGGGCCTGCACTGTATCTAGGCATGCCAATCATCCACGAATAATAGCTCAGTACTATTGGACAAAACTGAAAAAATAAAATCAATAACAATCAGAAAAAAGATGGGTCCTAAAGATAACCCCAGCGGAACACCCGAAGTGAAGGGAAGAAAACGCGTCAGGCCACTGTCAACAGGACCACTTGAGCTTTCCCTTGCGTTCTTTTCACGGTACTGGACGTCCACTACGACCGTCCAGTCCAGTCCAATACCTCTCGACCAATTCACGCTATTGGACGTCATCCCAACCCTGTTGGACGTCCGCTCGCTGCGTCCAGTCCATCTGTCCAGTCCATTAACAACCCTGCTGTCAAGCCCTGAGACGGCCTGGGAGCGACCCAACAAATAGGAATGGAACAACTTAGGAAATCCGGGTTAAAATCCACTTTACCCAACATATAGCTCTCAACAGTACCGAATGGCTGATTCGGGAGCTAAATGCTCGCCGAAAGTCGAACAAGACCAATGTTGTCACCTTTTTGATCTCCATTCCCAAGCAAACATCGTCGGTCAGCCTAAGAAGCGCCAACTGCGTGCTATGGCTAGCGCAAAACCCAGACTGCATAGGTAAAAAGAGCCCATGACTCTCTAAATTCGTCGTTACCTGACGCACCACAAGTAGAACCTGGACGATCATAGACTGCTGCCAAATAGAAGGGTATCTACCAGTAGCAACCAAATTACTAATAAGGTGCATAAGAAAAGGTACTGTTGCAGAAAATAAGCCACAAAAGTAAGAGAAGGACAGCCCGCTAAAGCTGCGGCCCCTTAAACGTACGTTGCAGTGGACCACTGCCTGACACAACTCCACGGGCTATACCAGGGTAATAAAAAGCTACAGGCAGACAGACACGCCCCTCAAGAGATCCTCAAGCTCCCAGACAGTGAACGAGCTGAGCTAACGTTAAAGGCAACATAGAATGTAACGCCGAAAGTGGTATCTCACCAATAATGTCAAATAGTTGAAGAATACCTTGCACCGAGAAGAGTCACGAGTACTCTAGATGGCTCCCTGTAAATACGCACCGTGAGCCACGTTTATATCACACTACAAAGCCAACCTCATCTCATTGTACTGTGAGTAGTAAAATTGGTTACCGTACACCCAACCGTTCTATACATCCGATCACGCGCCCTGCAATGCTCGCGTAGTTCACTGGTAAATCAAGGGACAGGTCTACGACGCGATTAGCGCTTAACCAGAGGCGCGTAAGTACATAGTGAAGAGCAGAAATCATCAGCATAAATGTGACAACTGCAGTTTAAAAATATCAGGGAGATTGTTGATGAACAAAGAGAAGAGTATCGGACCAAGTAAGCTACCTACGTATGCTATGTAGTATAGTGGCATGATTTCGGGGAATAGAAAAAATGCAAGACTAAAGTAACGAATCGAAGATATTGGTCAGTACTAGGATTGTTGGAAGACAGAGCGTGAGAAATTTAAGATTCAGTCTATTTGAGCCACTTGCATTTAAGCGAGCTGACTTGAAAGCTACCAGTATATCATTCGGCTCAGCATGCTTGAAATAAAAGCGTTCATCTGGAGAAATCCTAGAATGCATAGGTAGTGGAGTAGTTGTAGGCTCTTCAGGCTGTATAAAATGTTTGTTAAGCTCAGTGAGCAAGACTGGGAGCTGAGTAGGACACCCGTCTCTACCGATGGTATCAAGAGATCTAACGATATTCCGCGGTAGTTTTACATTTGAGGAATCTGTCACAATGGTAATTCTGAATGGCATTTTTTATGTTGGATTGCACCTTATTATGTAGCCGTTTGTACAACAAGTGGAGTTCTTCGTTCCTATAGCGCCTGAAATCGCGCCAGGATTGATTATGATCTCTAATCAGTGTGCAAATCGCAGGTATGATTAAGTAGATTGATTAATACACTTGTTAAGAGATGCACCTTATCATCGACCGTTGTTGATTAATCAAGGTACCTCCAGTCAAAGTTACCCAAATCTTCAGTGACCACATCTTCACTGAGGTGTCGGTAATTGCGACAGCACTAGGTTTTTCCTAACTTGCGAGGAGCCGAAATTGCAAGGTTGGCTATGAGGATGTCGTGCGCAATCGTCGACCAAGATGTTAGAAATTGTTTAAAATCGGAGACAAGGTGAGACTCAGTGGTGCAGATATAATCGATAGTGAAGTGTGACATTGCCGTGTGGTGAGTTAAACCAAGGAGAACTCTTTCCAAGTCTAAGGATGTCAGCGATTACTTCAAGGTAGTTGGGTTGGTTGCAGTAAAATTCTACTGAATGCTAAAGTCTCCCATAAGTATTAGGTGATCGAATGAGTAAGGGCTGTTAATGATTGCAGACACGACCTTGTCCCAAAAACCAGCCTTAGGAGGACTGTAGATAAGTGCTCACAGGTAAATATATCGATCACTTTCGATCTTAACTATTAAACACTCTGGTCAATTTGTATAAACTTAAGGAGTATCAGACGTATTCATAATTTTGAACTTTAAAGCATTATCAACGTACATAGCCACGGTTCCACAACCTTTGCTGATACGGCCATGCCTTCGTAGACTGTTACTTAGAATAGACGCTATAGAATTGGGGACATTAGGTTTCAGAAAAGATTCACATATGCCAAAGACAGATATAATAGTTTCAAGTACTAAATATTAAGAGTGAGCAGAAAGGGACTGGAAATTTGCATGTGCCAAAATGAACTTATTCGGAGCCAGGCTTGGAACGTTATGCTTTCATAATTGATTGAATGAAACTTACGTTTAATACTGGCTTGGAGAACAGGGCACTTGGCTTTGTCAAAAGCGCAATGCGAAAAATTAGGAGCTTTAGCTTTCTTACAGTTTATGCAGATCAGAGTAGATTTAGCTTTACAGTCTTAAGTAGGATGCTGTCCAGAGAAGTAGCCACAGGCCTCTTCATTGTCACAGTTTGATGCAATAAGGCCTATTTTGTGACAATTATAATGCTGTAAAACGGAGATATGGTCGCTTAAGCTAAACTGTGACCAATCTACACTTATTCTGTCTTTATAAAATAATTCCTTCTTTGCTACAATACGTCAAGTTAATTGAGTTTATTTCACTGTATTTCATCAAATTTTTTTTTTTAGTTAGTTAAAAAACCGGTAAAAAAATGTTTATCACTGGTCAAACTATACTTTAAAGACAAAGATGTAGAGGTTATTCGTTTTTTCAAATAAATGATTAAGCAAACAGGTCAAATAATTTCTTTTAAACAGCTCATTAAACTGTCACAGTTGTTACATACATACCTAATAACCACAAAATTTCCAATTAATATTTTTCTCTCTGCCTATAATTTTATAAAACAATCGTAACACTCCTGATGAATAAAAAAAGTAAAAATCTACTTCTGCATACGTCAATAGTAGTAAGAATTCTAGTGATAATCAACAATATTACAGTAAAATACTAGTATACTAATGTAATTCCAACATACGTCAATTATCACGATTACAGTTAATTTAGGTACAGTGTAGTGCCCGAAGAATCTTGCGGAAAAAAAATTAGGAACGCTTTAAGTCATAGGCAAAACAAGGAGTATGATTTTTTAAATATTTGACTCTTTACGTATAACTATCATATATAACCACTGAGAACTAATTGGCACAAAGCTCCTTTATCTTTTTTTTCGTGATCTTTTTTTGTTGAAAACTTCATTCATTTTTAATACGTTTTTCTTATCAAATCATTCCAATTTTTTTTTGTTTAACAACAAATACATAATATTATCTACCCTTATGCTTAAATATTCAAAATTCTATTTTAACACATTTTTTTGTTTGAAATTTGTGATCGTCAGAGTTTCAATACATTAGTATCTTGAAAAAAAAAATTTTCAAAATCGACGTCATTGAAATTTTTTTAAGCGACGACAGATATCTCAAAACAAAAAAATGCCTCAAGGTTTATAAAACTCGGAAGTGCTAAGATATGATTGATTACACTTATTCACACACTCACAAATGTTTTTTAGCGTACTTTACGTCAATTTTTAACATCAGTCAACATTTATATTTTGTGTTACCTTAGTACGTATTTTCGATGAGGCAGCAAAATCATTCTTATGATTAAACTTGGACCTTGATTTTTGGAAGTTTTCAACTTAAATGTCTAATGCAGAAAAAAACAGATTCTTTCATTATTTCTTTATTAAAATAAATATATAAGACATTTTGTTGTTCGTAACAATATTCGTTATTATACTTTGTGAATTCTAAAATTGATACTGATGTAGAGCCAAATCTCCTTTTATGATTCAAGTCCGTTTGAAATTCTAGATTTTTCTAATTTTTATGACATGCTAAAAAATAGAAACAAAAAAGGATTAATTAGTAATAAACTTAAATACATTATTCTATTTAAAAAGTATATGCCTATAAATAATAGATCGCATTTGTGATATTAGAATAATAAGATAGGAGAATAGGGACTTCCAATCTGTTAAATCAAGCTTGATTTCAACTTGGCAGTCAGAGTAGCGCATTTTTGAATGTGTCATAATCAACGAATAAAATAAGAAATCTGCTCTAAAACCTTTTAAACCCATTAGTTTTAGTTAGTAATGTTACGTACGATAGCATACAGCTATGCGTCCCTGTGTCTCGACTAGTTTGGGCTTTAGTTAAAAGTCAATGGGTAGACAGCAAAAAAGTCAGTCGGTAACATACTCTTCCCTCACCAATATAAGTAATAAATTATTGTTGAACATAAACCGTTCTTGTTATCTTGCGTGCACCCCTAGCTATCGTTTTCCCAAGTAACAGTTTGGTGCTAAGTGTGGAGTAGCTTTTGTCGCAAAATTAAATTTGTTTTTGTACGCATATAATACTTTATTGTTTGGAAATTAAAAGTGACTATCGGGTAGCACACATAGTCAAGTGCCGCAAACACATTACATTAGACACATCAGAAAAGAATTAACGAATGATAGAAATCTCAATGAAATCACAGATTCACCTGGAACAGCTCACATAGACACTTAGAGACCTATACAAATCATTTGGATTTCACTACGGTATCGGAACAAAGGCCGACAGCTACCTTAAGGGGACTCACCATTACGAAGATGCAGATAGCCATACTAATTTTCATTATTTTATCTACGGGTATAAATTTAATGTTTTGATTTTCTTTCTCTCATAGAAGAGGGAAAATATTTCAACAAGAAACTGCGGAAAAAAACACGATAATTAATCTTTCTAGTGCTTTACTTTAAACTTGACAAGAGTTGGAGCCAATGGCAATTTTTTTTAAGCATGATCCTGGATCATATGCACTTTGGAAAAAAACCAATGAAGAGACACGAAATCTTACGTTAAAATTGCTCAAAAATATTAAACCAAAGATTATGATTGAAGAAACAAATCAGAACTTAAAAATAGATGAAGCAACACATAAGGTTGTCGCGTTGGATAATTTTAGATTGGGGTTGACGATTCAAATTTCAAAGAAATGGGACCGAGAGTACAGGGAAAAGTTGACAGCGACTCAGAATTGAGGCAAGAGAAAAAATAAGCGGAATCAGACATTACTACGAACTAAACCGTAAAGAAGCGCATTCCAATCAGCCATATGCTCTACTATGCGCCTAAGTGTCTCTACCTTCCTATTACAACAATAGAAATAATAACAGTTTTTACCCTTAACATAATAAAAATAAAAGGTCAATATGTAAATACGACGAGAACAACTAGTTTACGTACTCAAATAATAATAATCAGAACGCCTCGCTGAATTGTTAACTAAAATAACCAATTAACTAACATATCGAAAACCGGCAACTACAAGATACCTTACAAGAATTTTCCTAGTGCCAAAACGTACGATTCTTGCACGTTGATGGTAGCAGCTGTCAGAAAACCAATATTTCTTAGGGATGAAATTTAATATTATAACACATCCGAACAGCACCACCAATCGAATGCTGCTATAAAGTGGAGGCCTAGTACAATTTCCTTTATTCGGACAATTGAGTAAGTTTATAAAACCAACGATTCCCGCCCAATATAAAAAATATTTTACAGGACTTTTGAAGGATACATTGCGGAGCATAGAAGCCTATCAGTTTTGCAAGCGACTATCATTATTTAACTCTGTTTATGAGCCAGTTGTCTTAGATAAAATATAATAATATTAAAAAAATTTTTTAAATCTTCGATAGTTTCCGATAGTAGTAGATATTTTAAAATAATTTTTGCAAGCATAAAGACTTTGCTTTGTAAAATTAATACTTCTTATTAAAAAATATCGAAAACTATCAAAAATTATGTGAGATTATTTGATATTTTTGTCGTTATCAAAGTATGTATGTCGAATTGAAGCAGACATATGTTAATATTTTATACTCTATATACACCATGTATTATTTTAAACTATTTACATACATCTGTGTAATCAAAATTAAAAAAAAATTATACATATGTCAATAAAATGTACACATACATGTATACATACATATGTGACACGCCAAAGTATGTAAACATATCGGGATCTGTGAAAATCAGTAGGGTCTCCGTCAGGTTCTCTACAAATGGTGTGGGGGGCTGGAAAAAGGGTGGGGGATTTGGACGAAAATTAGGATTCATTGATCATATTGTGACCGGACTTGTTTAAAGTATGGTCTTAACTGTTTTGTTTATATGTTATTCGTGGGTCTCTTAGGATTCAGCTCCTGAGCTTTATTTGTTTTTTTTAGTCAAGTAAAAATAATTTTTTGAATAATACGGATAATTTTATTCAATTTTTAATTCTTTTATAAAAACAATTTAAAACAGGTATTTGCTTAGATACAGTCTATTCAGATCACTTCACAGATTATGATATTAATTACATTACTGATGAAAATTTACATTTATTACTGACTGTTGTTACTGCTGCTTCGGAGTTCCTTAATGCTTCGTGCAGTAATTCCCAGGGATTACTTTTACTACACTAATGAGTTCGTGGCCTGTAAGGGGTTGCGGTTTCTGTTTTCTCTATTGCCGGAACCATTTTCGGTGGGCCTCTTTCGTTGTACCTAGCTCCTTAGCGTAATCTGATATTATTGATACTCTCGAACTGCACCGAAATTGCCTCAGCCAACACGTTATGTCTTACGTGTATAAGGTCCTCGCGAGTCATAGGAGTCAAAAGTAGACTAAAACTTTAAAGGACAGGTGACAGACGTAAAAAGAGCGATTTTTCCTCTTGATGGTGAGTTTTTATAGTGTCAGAGCGAGTAAAAGAGGCCTTTAGTTGAAGTAGGTCAACCAATGAGCGATATTCTTGCAGATTGCGTTGACAGAAAAACAGTAGGCTTGCACGATGATGTTACATGTTATGATTTCATATATTAGGAAATAACAATAAAACAGTACCAATCGCATTTTCCTGACATGTACGATTGAGTTTTTTTGGGTTAGCAATGATGAAAGCTCGCATCATCAATAAAAGAACGCCAAATACAAGTTCAAGTGTGACAGTTTATAAATTTCGAAATTAATCCTTTTGGAGATTTTACAATCACTTTTGAATAAAAAGAAATAATGTGTTAATTACAAATTTTAAAATCTGTATACGTTATTAGAAGTGGACAATAAATACGCAAGTAAATAATTTATTCATACATATAATGTACAATTTCCATTCATACGTGCATTCTTACAAAGAGGCTAGCTGTATTATATGTCAGCATATTATTAAAGATTTACCTTAAAGCTATTACAGACACGCATATAAGTGACGTATAAACTCCTCTTGTCATATAAGCTTGCTTTATATTCACAATACGTCTTATCTAAATTTGATGGATGGATAGCATTTGGTTGTAATATAATTCATCTGTATCAACTCAGAATGTAACAATCATAAAATTGTATTTGCAAAGCTTTTTTATTCTTTAAATTTATCTGTTAATTAAATGTCATAAATTTCGTTTGATTTAGCGATGAGAAAATTTTTTGTTTTCTGTAACTATATACTGAAGTAGATGAAAAATAAAATAAATTGTACGCATAAGTTAATAAAATGTATACACCTTCGTGAATGCATACATATACGACACTCAAACGGATGTATACATATCATGGACCGTGAAGATCGGTAGGGTTTCCATCAGGTAGTCCAAAAGTGATAGGGGTAGTAGGGGGTCAGGAAAAAATACGTGTGGGGGGGCAGTGGAGGATCTGTCAGAAATTTTTTGTAGTTTTAAATTTTGATACTATTATAGCAGAGCATTCATATTCTATCAATTTATGCTTTTTTTGTGATTACGTAGAAAATACATTTGTTAATTTGATAACTAATGTATTATTTTAATTTTTTATAATGGTTTATAATTTTTTGCCATGAGATATCCTTTCTTTTACGTTTAAAAACTTTAAAGTGATTTAAAACCATATTTTTTTTTAATGACTACGTTTTTATAATGGATGCGATATAATTATAAATGCATAACTGACTCCTTATTCTTACTTCGAGACAATAAAGTAAAAGTGCTGATACGACAAACTTGACCTTGTTATTTTAAATTACAATTTGCTTGCCATCAGTTAATTTTTTATTTTTTTTTTTGCTATCCGATTTTTCCTGCAATTTGATTCAAAAATGTAAGGATAGTTATCAATTAACTTTTTGTGTAATGGTAATTTTCTTCAAATGGCTACAATCTTAATATAAATGTGTAACTGATTCCTTTCTTTAAAACCCCCAAATGAAATGATAAATATTACAATCTTGACCTTATTATTATGAATAATACATTGCTTTTCATTTCCTTGCAGAACATTAGCATAAAATATTGCAAACCCAGAATGTTTATAATAAAACCCAATTAACTAACGAAATTTTCTACAATTTATTAATAGCTGCTACGTACATTTTTTTGAGTAACCTGAAGGTGGTAAAATCATTTTACCTTTGATGTCAGCAAGTGAAAGCCTCATAGTAAGTGATACAAAGAATTTTTGACGAAAACTTCGCGCGAGGTGCACTTCTTTGCACAGCGTTTTAGACAGTAGCCCATTGCCGCTCAACAAGTGCAGTACTTAATTATCAAAGTAACAAGCTATAGAGTGACTCATTGGTCTTTTCTTTCTTTTGTCATTTTTTACGAGTAATTTAAAATTAATTAATTTTAGACAAGTCAAAGAAAGTGAAAGATATTTAAACTAATAACCTAATTCATTCGAAGCTTCTAGGAGAAAGGAAGGAAAATTAATAGGCATATTTTATAAAACTTTCTCTTTTTTCTTTCCTATAAGCAAATCAATATTTAGACTGTTTGCGGGTCCCACAGCCCGTAAAGAAGAATAAGACTACTGT